GGACCCCGGGCGCGGGCGCCGCGGGCAGCAGCAGCCAGAGCAGGAGGACTTGTCCGAGCCCCGCGTGCTGCCGCCGAGGCCTCTCCATCTTGCTCCTCGCCTTCGCTCCTGCTTTTCCGCTTACTGCTCTGAGCTCACGTCTGGTTTCGTAGGAGCAGCCCTTTTGCCCGGCCGGGACGCCAGCCCCAGACTTTTAAGGGGCAGAGCCTGGCCGACTTCTCCGTCCACACGCCCGTCCTGCCCCAGGCCCACAGGGAGGTCCCTCGCCCTGTCCCTCGCTCGTCAGAAGCCATAAAACCAGACACGGGGCAGAGTGGCATGGGCAGCCATCCACCCACGGCCAGGAGGTCACCCCAGGAAAACACACAACCATATTTCAGTACTGGTTTTATTACAAAACAAGCAACAAAACAGTTTTTAGAAAATCATTTTTGCGCCATACGGATTAGCAGATCACAGAAAATGAGAGGCATGCGGTAAGACTCCACGCACTCAGCGGTGGACTCAAAGCCAGGGCGCTTCGCAGCTGAGACTGCTGGTTCAAAACCTTCGCAAGCGCTGGGGAAGGGGTCAACATTCACTTTACTCGGACTACCTGGCGCGAGTGCCTGTACGTACTGCAGGCCAAAACAGAAAGAAAACAGGTCTACGGGGGGGAAAAAAGATGTTGGTAGAAAATATTTAATAAACACGCCCATTTCTGACATGTTGAAAGTTAATAATAAAGGTGATTTGGGAAACTTGATTTCCAAAGTGCTGCGAACACTGCCATATGCCTGTTTATCTGGTTAACACTGAAAACAAACCTACCAAATCCCCTTCCTCAACTATTAAATCTGCTATCATTTAACAGGTCATTTTAGTCCATATCAAGAACATTTATGTTCAGAAAAGAAAAGCAATTATTTTGCTCCCAGTAAACTTAGAAACTGGACCTTAACTCTACTCCTTCTCACCGGAGCTCAGCATTGTAATCAGACACGGAGTTGTAATACCACAGTTTCTAGACCTGAGGCCACTGACCAGTGTGTGCACCTCCTTACCCTTTTATGTCTCATAGAAAACAAACGGCAAACCATCTTCCCCAACCATCACCTGACCTCGAGTAAGCAAGTCTATCAGGTTTCAAGAGTAACAGACAGTAAGTACTTTCACTGTGCAGACCACCTAGTACACTGCTGTACTTATGGAAAGAGCAACTAAGACAAGGTTTTCATTCCCTATAGAAAATGCAATATCTTAAAAAACAAAAAAACAAACAAAAAAAACCCCCTCCGATTTATTTCAGAACCTGTGTGCTTAGCCATTCACCTACCCTGTATCCCTATTTTACTAATTTTTTTTCCACTTGATTCCACTTCATACAATTAAAACCAAATACTTCAGTTATCTGCATACCACCTTTGGCTCACATTAAAAGACAGTGGTTTAGGGGCCGGGTATTTAGCTCAGTGGTTCCACCACCTGCCTCGAAAGCACAAGGGCCTGAGCTCAATCCCCAGTACAAAAAAAAAAAAAAAGACAGTGGTTTAAAATTGGTCAGAAGGTTAAGAAATGTGGACAGAAAAGGAATTCTGAGATAAGATTTGAGATGTGAATGTTTTTAGACTTCAAAAAAGATAACATACTTTTCTGATCTTAGAACTATATTAACTATGTTCCACCTTGGGATGTCCAAGTATAGGCTTTTTAGAATCCGTGTTTCTACTTCATTAAGACAATAAAAAAAAAAAAAAAAAAAAGACAGTGGTTTAAAATTGGTCAGAAGGTTAAGAAATGTGGACAGAAAAGGAATTCTGAGATAAGATTTGAGATGTGAATGTTTTTAGACTTCAAAAAAGATAACATACTTTTCTGATCTTAGAACTATATTAACTATGTTCCACCTTGGGATGTCCAAGTATAGGCTTTTTAGAATCCGTGTTTCTACTTCATTAAGACAAACTGGATTATGTTTAATGTACCCTCAAAATAGACCTTATTGAATAAGAAACCTATCAGCTTACTGTAACAGCTAATTAGCAGTAGCAGATAGCAGAATTTCAGAGACAGAGATCTTCACAATTTAAACGCGAACAGGTGACATCATTTCCATGAGTCAGGGAATGTTTAAAGAGATTTCAAAAGCGTCTCATTTATTTTCATCACATCCACATCACATGATGGGCTTTTCTGTTGACGAGCTCAGGAAGTTTCGGGGAGAGTAAAATAAGGAAGGTGTAACAGAGACCAATGGCTTTAGGAAATTTGAATGGCTTCTTAAAACCAGATCACTTAAAGTAAGCTGCAACCCTGATCACTCATAAATAAGTAATTCCCAAACTAAGAATTTCTGAGGACAAAAGTACATAACAGTTTCTTTCTAAAAGAGAAGGAAAATGGAGAGAGAAAGAAGGAGAGATCCAGGAGATTTTCCTTTTTGACCAGGACCACAGACCAAACTTAGGTACAGTGAAGGGGCGCCCCTGCAGGGAAGCAGAAAAAGGCCTGCAAGACCCACACTTCAAGGCTGCCACACAGGCCAGACAAACATGCGTCGCTGAAACGCTAATGACTCTTACATCAAGTTTTCACCTCTGGATCAGATGTGGACACAGAAGGAGCAGGGATTTACTTAGGTACAAACGTTTCTCTTGTCTCTTCTTCTAGTCACTAATTTTTAACTTAAAATATATAACTAATTGATCTAAGAATAAAAATTACAGGCAGTAATGAACTGAGTTCTCTCTCTCCATAGGAAGCTCTCGTAAGTTTCTGGTAGCGATTCGCTGCAGAAGCTGGGTAGATAAATCACCCTAGAGACTGGAAATTGTACCCTGAGAATATGGGTAAGAAACTCAATCTCTTATACTCTTCTACCTGGGAAACCTCTCACTAGCAAGTCAGAACCTTTAAATCAGTGTTTTTATGCCCACTCTATATTCCATTAAAGAATATAAATATCTCAAGATTATCTTTGTATCTCCCCACTGTTAAGTACAGGGTTTGATCATGCAAACACACATAACTGCATTCAACAAGCAACATGAAGGATAAAAAGAAAGCAAATCTGCCCGGTACATGATACATAGTACTTAGTATCAGGCAAATGGTCCATTCAAAAAGACCAGGACTTTTTTCCTGTCTGGAAAAAAATGGATCGAAAAAGCTTAGCAGGATAAACCATCATCCACCTCTTCTCAGCATCTCCTTAAAGCTCTTCTAAACCTGAGATAGAGGTAAGTCCATCACGCACATGAATTATCACACACTTACTACCCCTCCACACATTTCAAACCTCACCATATCAAGGGGAATCGTCTGTTACGTTCTCAACAGGTGTAGCACCTAACACTGATAAGCCCACCCTCGGGGCTGGACACAACCACTGGACGGGCGAGTCTGTCACCTACCACTACAGCACCAGGGCTCTCGGAGCATCAGAAAGAACAATAATTTCCAAAACTGATGCACTGGCATTAACTCATTCCCCATACCTCACAAAAAGGCACCCATCTCTTTCCCTGGCAGTCCCTTGAGGGCTGCCCTCCAGTGCCGTCCCCCGTTTCAACTACCTCCCGGGGTGGACATCAGTCCTGCCGCGGCCTGCCCCTCCCCCCACCGGGGACCCCTTTCATCTGTGTGGGTTGTCACCCTCCTGCTTCATGAACTTCAACCAATTAACAGGAACAGGATAAAACCAGGTGACTGGCCTAAGATCCTGTGCCTGGATTGAAACAACATGAAGCAACTAAAATAAGGACAAGGAAATAAATTTTGGCGAGGGGTACAACTGGAGACCACACTGCTTATAGAGAGGAGGTGCTAAACCAACACCCCACCAGAAAGACCTTGGGATAGTTTGGCAAGAGGCAGCGCACGCCTGTGTATGCCCCACAGGTCTAACCTAGTGATCTCCCCTTGATAATACATAAACGCCAGCCGCACGGACCCTCCCATGGACGTCCACAGGAACAGAGTGCCACAAAGGCCTCCGACATGCAGCAAGGCAGAGAAACCGAGTCCCAGCCACCTGTGTCCAGCCCCTCCCTCCTCCCTCCCATCCCACACACTGCCCTCATCACACATCAGAAGTCCGTATGTTTTCATCATCGAGGTTGAACAGAAATGCTTTCTCCTTGGGGTGCTGGGGCTCCGATCTGTGCTGGGGCTCCGATCTGTGCCTGATCCGGGAGCTCAGCAGTGTCCCAGCAATGCTGCTTTCCCCCAGGCGGGCTGTGAACAGAGAGTCCTCCGCATTCTCTTCCGCTGGCAGCAGCTTTTCCCCAGTCTGGGGGACAGGTGTCCAAGGCTGCCAGGAGGAGGCCGTCGAGGGAGCTTTGCAGAGGGCTTTCTTTTCTTCTGCGGGTGGCCGCCCTCGACACAAGACAGAGTTAGGCCCACCTGTGAAGCTGGAGCTTCCAGGTCGAGTCAAAGAAATAGATCTAGAAAAAGACACTTCCTAGAAACAAACAAACAAAAAAAAAGATGAAAGACAAAGGGAAATAAAGGACAATGTTTTCTCAAAGTCCCAGGAAGAGTACTAACCCAGGATCATCACCTCACAGGTTCAGGGACTGCTATCTACAAAAATCAAATATTTTCAGCAAAGCCAGGCATGGCAGCATGTGCTACTGAGGAGGCTAAGTCAGAAGGTTCCCTGTGTGCCTGGGCAACACAGTGAGTCCCTGTCTCAAAAATAAAAAGTTCAGCAGAATTCAGTCCACATGAGTCAGGGTCTGGTTGGCAGTGAGACCTGTAAGCTACATCAGAAACTCCATGTCACTGTCCAACCTCAACTCACCTCCTCCACCAACTAAAAGAAAACAAAAAGAAAAATTTGGACCCAAATTAGTAGAAAGAGAAAAACAAACAAGTCAGCCTGTAGCTTCAGCTGCATGTAAATCCTGGGCTGCGTGCCTACAACACCAAATAAAACACGCCCGCTCAAGGGAAATTTATCTCTCAATCGACACTCGGGACAAGAAGGAAGTGACTTACTCTGGGGTGGCACTTGAGGGCCTGGACAGCTGTCCCAATCTCCTTAATCCAGCTGTGCATGTCCTCTGGACTGTCTGCCTGCAAAACATCCACAGCACTTACAGAGGCACATTTCTGGCAATGTGATTTCAGCTTTCAAGTTCCTGAGTCAACTTCGAGTTTCTAAAATTACAGCGTTAGAGTTGGAGGGGATCCTGGAAATCATCTAGTCCAGTGGCTCGCAGACTTCTGAGGACATTTTTTTTCCTGCAGTATCTTAATTGGCAGTCAATAAATAAAATAGTTCAAAGAGCTCCTCAGCTGATCTGAGGAAGAGCAGGGGCTCAGTGCCCCATTCTGTTGACACCCCTCACACCATCCAGAGAACAATGGGTCTATTCTAACCTCTGGGCTTTACAGAAAAGGAAACTGAAGCCCAAAAGGCCAACGCACATGGTTTATGGCTGGTCTGGATTCGAGTTCTCAGACTCTGTGTCATCAGCTTTCCACTGTGTTACTATCTGAACAGAATAATCTCACTCTCAATTCCGTTAAAACCAAATCTGCATGACCTGTACGATCATATATTTTGTTTCCAGAAATAGCACTTTTCTCAAAGCACAAGGTCCTTGAAAAACCAAGCCCGACAAATCCACAGGGCAAATCCCCAGTGAAAGCATTTCCCCCAGAAGGGGGCAGCAGCAGCTTCGTGAAGAAGGCAGGAAGCTCTAGAGGCCTGGGCTCTGGGCTGTGGCTGTGTGAGGGAGGCGTTCCAGCAAACTGTGCAGATGTTTACCGAGGTCCCTGCTTGGGGTGGCATGTAACAGCGAGGTCAGCCTCAGAGGTGGGACCCAGACTGAAATGCCTGCCTGTCATCTCCTCTGTCCCCTGGCGCTGTCCTCAGTCCTATCACATATGTCACATTTGTGTGCATGTGCAGACATGTACAAACACCACACCCAGCCCATCCTCTCCTCACTTCCTCTGTGCCCAGAAGGACCCCGGCCATGCATTCCGTCAGGGTAAAACGTGACCATTTTGGGTTTGTTTTTTCCTAGTCCTCAAACTTGCATCCCTACCCTTTCCTGTCACCCGAAACAAACCCTCCCAGGTTAGATGTGCACAGGAGACACAGGGAAATGGTTTCATATCCTGGCATGCCAGGTCAGAGGGTGGACAGCAAAAGCTCACATGTGCTACTCCTGCAGACTGACTTACACTCTCTCCCCTTGATTCTTTCCAGCTTTTTGACAAACTGATGGTTTCCTAAGAAAGGACAAATCCATCTCTAGTCAAAAAAGCCAAAAGTCCCAGAGCCTCACAGAAGGTACTTTACTAATATGTGGGCTAGGCTGTCCCACAAGTAGGACTCCTGGGAGAATTACATCTATGACATAAAGCTGTTTGAACAGTGTCTTGTACACCGAAGTGCTTTATGTGTAAGATTTTATTTTTGTCTTTTGGTGCTAGGGATGGAGCCCACGGCCTTCACACTAAGTTACATCCCCAGCTCTTTTACTTTTGAAACAGCATCTCACTAAATCCCTGAGTTGCCCAGGCTGGACCAGAACCCGGAATCCTCTTGCCTCGCCCCCCACCCCAGACAGCAAGCATTACAGGTGTGGACCATTATGCCTAGCAAGGGGCTCTGTATGTATTATTATTATTCTTACTTTATCTATTATTCCTATGTGATACAAGGGAAGCAAGGGCAGCCTAAAGTCCACCAAAGCAGATTTGCTCCTTGTCCTCTCCTTGAGACCTTTCCCTCAAACTGCATGTAAATAATTCCTACCTCAAACGGTCAAGATGTCAGGATCAAGAGAATTACTGGAAGAGAGGAAAGGCTACTCCGGATTTGATGTGATCGGGGTAATTGTTCATCAGGAGCATTTATTAGGGATTTCTCTCCTGGGGAAACCAAAGATGAGTTGATAGGAAGATGTTAGAAGACAGGGGAGGTGCTGGGGGTGTCGCTCAGTGGCAAAGCTCCAGTCTAAAGTATGTGAAGCCCTCGGCTGGATCCCTAGCACTGCACAAAGAAGAAAGGAAAAAGAGAGAGAGGGAAAAACAGCGAAAGGCACTCAGGGAGATTTAAAAAAAATCTCCATTCCATATAGATCTGACACTCTAGTTACATAAAGATCCTCGGGCAATCTGCTTCCAGGGATGTGGACTGACTCTTCCCAGCACTCGAGTAACCACCCCGTCACATCCCACACAGGGCTGCAGATGTGACCCAAGGGAAAACACGTGCTCATGTGTCAGGTCCTGGGTTCCCTCTCCAGCACTAGAAATACCAAAAAACAAAACCATGTGTTTATACACGTTTCAAACAGAAAAGCAGATATTACAAGTGATCCCATATGGGAAGAAACAGAATATTCTTGTATCGAAATCATAACAACAGTTTCTGTTAGTTGTTTTAACCTTTTGTTTGTTTGCTGGTACCGGGGATCAAACTCAGGACCTTGAGCTTGTGAGGCTGGCGGCGGAACCACTGAGCTAAATCCCCAGCACTTTTAACCATTATTTTAAAATAATATCTTAAAATATTATTCAGCCAGGCGTGTTGGCACAGCCCTACAACCTCAGCACTCTGGGAGGCTGAGGCAGGGGGATTATATTTCAAACCCATTCTAGGCAACTTAGTAATTTAGCAAGGCTCTGTTTCAAAATAAAGAATAAAAGAAGGACTGGGGATGTAGCTCAGTGCATATACCCTGGTTTTAATCCGCAGTACGACAAAAGGAAAAAAATGAAATATTATTCAGCCAGGTATGATGGTGCACACTTGTAGTCCCCGCTGATCAGAAATACGAGACAAGAGCATCCCAAGTTTGAGGCCAGCCTGGTCAACTTAGTGAAACCCTGTCTCAAAATGAAAACGTTTAAAGGCCCAGAGATGTAGCTTAGTGACAGAGCACTTGCCTAGCACACAGGAGGCCATGGGTTCCATTCCCAGCAGCAAAAGAAGAAAAAGCTCAAATGGAAAAGCAGGTCTTGCAATTAATGACACATGGGAAGGGAAAGTATTATTTTACTGAGATCACAATAACAACCCCTATGAGTTTTAAGAAGTGATACCCAGTTTTGGCGCAACATGAATTCACTCAAACCAAAAAGTGATATGCAAAACTTATGATATGCAAAAATTATGGTGTATATTTCTTGTATGGAAAACTCATGCTTAGCTTTCATCAGAATCTAGAAAAAAAATCTTAAAACCACATCACAAGGTAGTTTCATGAATCAGAGGTAGAAAGCAGAGCTCAGGTCTACCCACCCCACAACGAATGAGACTAAAAAGTGCTTAAAACTGGGTAGAACAAAAAGGGAAACACCACACTCACACCGCCCTCTCTTTGGTGCTGGGTTCTAAAGAAAGTAGGGTTTCTATCATTGAGGGCAATCTCTGAGATGAGAGGACAGAGGCATTAAAGTGAGTCATTTTGGTCTGGAGCTGAAACGCAGTGCACTGACCTCGTATTAAGACTCCTCGGAGCCTGTTCGGTAGCAGATGAACGGCAGAGGCAAAGAGTCACGCATTCACAATGAAAGTCGCCCCGAACAGGCCCCGGCTGACCGCCATTGCCCCGTCCTAAATCGTAAGAGCTCCTCCGTCCTTTATTCCCAACATCTGCAGCCGTTTCCCAACAGACTGCTATGTCCTCTCCCCAGAACCCAAGTGCAGCTCTGGATATGCAACGTGCGATGCCGAAGACCGTGTGCAGCCCTAAGCGATGGCATCCACACTGTGGCCTGAACAGCAAACATCTCCCGAGCTGCGGCCAGCGTAACTCCCTCGTGAGGGTCCTTGTTGCTGCTCACGCTCTGACGACTGACTAATCCAACCTACCAATACTGTTTGTACACTATCTTGCTCGTCTTGACAAACGAATCCTCCCCTGGATAAGCTACCTAATAGCCCCAGATGCTCCGTGACTGGGAAAATGCTGACCCCTGCTGGCTTGGATCTCCAGGATGGAAATCTGACTGAACCCATGCACAGAGTGAGAGCTGCTCCCCTTGACCGGGTTCTGGGAACCGGGTGCCCTGACAGTCAGCCTTCCCTGGCGGTCTGTGACCTTCTCGTCCTGGGTTCTGGCTCATGCCACACACACACAACACACCTGAGCAACTCGCTGCGGCGGCCGGTGCCTCCCAGTCACTTCCGTCATTTACGGACTTGGGATCTCAGACAAACAATTTACCTGCAGAGACTGTTTCCTCGCAGATAAAGTGGAGATGAGCGCAGAGGCCGCCGCAAGTCAAGCGAGGCGCTACCCATTAAGCTGCTCAGCACTGTGCCTGGCTCATCTAAGTGTCCAATAAATGGCTTTGCTTTTCATTAACGGCAAAGGCTAATATAACACGAAAGATCCCAGGCAGAAAAGCACACACAGTAATGCAGCACGTAAGTTAAACGACTAACACCTAAGTAGTCAAAACCCAGCCCACGCCTCCTGTCCGCGGAGCTGCCTACTTCTGCTCTGGTCCAGCTCCCCTCGACAGTGAGCTGAGATAAAGAGCTGTTTCTGGCAGACGGACTTGAGGATAACTTAGGAAGGTCAGAGCTCCAGTGCGCACGCTGAGGAAAATCTCAGCCCCGAAGCGTACCCGCTGTCAGATCCCTCTCCCTTCGCATGAAACCTGAGTGACCTGGAATGAATGGCCGACCCAAAGAACTGTCAGTGCTGCTTCTTTGGGTGCGGATATTTAGCAGACTTTTTTTTTTTTTTTTTTTTTCTCAACAACGAATAAAGGAGGCTGTAAAGCCAAGGGCAAAATCGCACCAGTTATTTTTTTGCCGATGATAAACTTTGAGCTTTCAAAACAAAAATTAGAATTTCCGAAAATTTGCCTCTACCTCCATGAGCTCAACAAGTTTCCATACTTAATGACACTGCTAATGAGTGATGATGACTTCATGAATGTGACTTTTACAATATTACGCAAAAAAATGTGTCAACATTTGGAAGACATTCCTATCTCAGCAAGACTAGTGTTTTCCAAATGATCGATGTGGGCGGTTATGAGACCATGCATCTGCAGAAGGGGCCGCTGGATTTAATGCAAAAGCATGGAAGTTTATCGATCTGGCTTCAAATTCTACATTTCACCCATACATTAAGAAATTATTGCTGGGCGTGGTGGCACACGCCTGTAATCCCAACACTCGGGAGGCTGAGGCAGGAAGATCACTGTGAGTTCGAGACCAGCCTGGGCTACATAGTGTGTTCCAGGTCAGTCTCAACTACATAGTGAGACCCTGTCTCAAAAAACAAAACAAAACAAAAAAGAAATTGTTATTTGTCAACTTTTGATATAGAATTGAATATCTATAATTAACTAAAAAGAACATTAAAAGATTCCTTTTTTTCAAAGACATATTTGCATAAGGCTACATTTTCATATCCTTCAGTACAAACAAAAATGACCACAAAAACAATTCAGAGGCAAAATGCAAAACCCTGTTGTCTTCTATTATAACCCCACCAGACATTAGAAAAAACATTTAAAATACTACTCTTCTTGCTATTTTATAGAAAGTTATTTTTCCTAAAATATAGCTTTCACACATGAGCTTAGATGCTGTCTGCAATGAACTAATATGTGTTTCATGATTTTTCTCATGTTTTCATCTGTATATTCATCCGTACATTTTTAATCTATAGTCAGTCTCTCTTTCCTTCCCACTGACGTTGAATTAAGTGCCGTAAACAGATCTGACCAGTCACCCACTGAACTGCTCGGAGTGCTGCTATCACCCTTTTATACCGGAAGCGAAAGGAGGGTGGGAGTGAGAAGAGACCTCTGGGAAGCACCCGCACACTCGTGCAGATAACGCAATGTCTTTTGCCCACGTTTTGGTTGAGTTTCCGGTTTCCCGAAACACTACCTTCTGTCGAGCGCCCTCTCCTGAGCTCTTCACCAGCCCTGTCACCGCTCGACACGTGTCTGCCACTGCCACTGACCTGTCAAGCATCCTCTACCCAGCCAGCAGTCACCACACCCCGCAGGCACTGAATTCAGGACCGCTCGAGCTAGGCTGTCTTTCCTCTCAGCAGCTCCCACCCCTGCTCCCACAGAAGTGACCAGCGCCACCAGCCACCGTGAGGTCCAGGCCAAACCCCAGCGTTCCCCTTGCCCCTGCCCTCTCCCTTTACCTAAATGATTCTCAAGCCCCGGAAAGCCCATCCCTTTCATAAGTTTCACGTTTTCCACTTTTCTCCATCCGCCCAGGCTCAGGTGACGTCACCCCTCACCTGTGCTACTCCGACAGGTCTTGCCTTGTCCTTCGCTCCTCTGCCCTCTGCACGCCCTGGGCTACACACTTCGGTCAGAACCTCACTAGAAGGCTCAGCGTCAAGCTTCTCATCTCTGCTCACCAATGAGAAAACAAAGCTGGGAAAACTGGATAACTTGCCCCGAGTCCAAGTGCCATATATATACTTTTTTTTTTTTTTTAAATACGAGGGATCAAACTCGGGTCCTTGTGCCGTTTGAAGGCAGGCGGCGGCACCACTGAGCTAAATCCCAGGCCCCCCAAGTGCTATATTCTAAGGCAAACCTGGCTAGAGCTCCCTCTCTGAATGGCTGAGAGCGCGAACTCTCAGGATAGAGCGGAGCTTCTGACAGGCAAGACACACTGCACACAAAGAAGCCAGCCCCGCAGAAGAGACTGGCAGCCTCTTGCACCCATGTCCCACCCGGCCGTGCCTGGACCACTCCCTACTCTACTTAGATGCCCCTCCTTCAGGAAACCTTCCCCAGCAAGAGCTTGCACTACCTGCAGTCACACGGATCACATGGTTTTGTGGGGGTTTTGTGAGTTTTTTTTTGTTTTTTCCAGTACCAGGGATTGAATCCACAGCCTTCTCATGAATCCACAGCTATATTCCCATCCCTTATTTGTTTTTTAGTCTGAGACAAGATCTCACTAAGTCCCTAAGTAGCCCAGGTGGGGCTCAAACTTGTGATCCTCCTGCCTCAGCCTCCCAGAATACTGAGATTACAGGCATGCACCACTGAGCCCAGCTCTGACTTTGTTTTTGTTTTATATTCTTCCGCCCGCTTCAGGGAACTTGTTTCACACCTGCAATCCATTTGGATTCATTTTTTTTCCCCTAAGATGCATATACTTATTACTTTGTCATCAATTTAGAATTTTATTTCTATATCAGAAATTACAGGGGCTGGGGATTTAGCTCAGTGGTTCTGCTGCCTGCCTCGGAAGTGTAAGGACCCAAGTTTAATCCCCAGTACCAAGAAGAAAAAGAAAGAAATTAGAAAGTCACATTTCAGAGATGCTCATATTTAGAGGAAAAGGTATGCTGACTGGCTTTCTTTTTCGTGTGATAATCATAATTACGTGTCTTCATCATTTTTACTTCCCCCTCTCCACCTCACCCTCCCCTCTCCCCCATGCTGCGTTTCTTCTCCTTAGGGCCCCAACCTCTTGCATGCTGTTTCAACCCGCATTTAATGACGTTCACTCTGTGTCCAGCAGAGCTCGAGTTCACACTCCCACTGCACACAGCAAATCCTCCTGCTTCAGTTACCTAACTCTTCTGACCCTACCCCATCGGATGGTCCAGACCCTCTTACTTGGCTAGACTTTCCTAGGCTCAGGACTGCTTCGGTGGAACCTGGTGTCTCTGGTCTGAGATAAAACACCCAGCACTCTGAGGCTACTCTACAGCTACCTGTTGAATGCAAGAACTAGCAACTCTTTGTTGCATCTCCAGGGTCTACCTTGTTCCCGAAGAGCAATGGAGCCAGTGAATAATTAGCTTTGCATCACAGCACAGTTTGAGGCAAACTGCCCTGTGGCATCTCTTGCAGGAGGCACTGCTTGTTGGAACGTGCATGGCCCACAGAGGACCAAGTTGGCCAGAAAGCCTGCTGGTCTCAGGCAGAGGGTGGTGGAGACAAGGAGCTATGCCCAAGAAATGGGAAGGAAGCTCAACCCCCCGCGGAAGGCAGGGTTCTGGTGAGAGTGTGAAAGAAAGAGGGCCAGGAATCCCCAAAGTTGGAGCTGGGAAGCCCCTACGAAAGCCAGCACATCAGGTACAAAGTTCCAGGGCAGAAACCCCACAACCTCGTGCTGCTGTGAACCCGTGCAATCCGTGGACTACCAGGCAGGGTGGGCTGGGACTTGGCCCTAGATATCCACGCCCTGCTTGGAAATCTGCCTCGCCAGCTCTCTGACTCTCACAGGGCTTGGGAGAGCTCCAGAGCTGTGGGTGGAGGGGACGCTCCTGATAAGTGAACCTCAGAGCCCAAACAATGGCTCTCTCTGTGCAGCTGGGCTCTGCACCTGGCGCAGCACAGGGCCCTCTGTGCCTCTGTCTTTCCGCACACAGTGATGTCCACACACAGACAGACTTATAAATACCCTCCAAAGCAGAAGTGAAATCACTGACCGGTTCTCCTTTTCTCTGCTTAGCAGGAGCCCAGCGGCTGAGCAAACTCACATTCTCCAGTCCAGCGTTTGACCTGCTTTTACTCTTTTATGCTTGGAAGCTTTTGGCAAACATCCTGTTTAGAATAAAATGGGACTCACACTGACTCTTGGGGGCTAAATTTACCATCCCTTAAATTCAAGCGAAAGGAAAGACAAAGCCGAGGGGAAGAAATGAAGCCTACTGGTCCACCATTCACACAAGCCACGTCGTCCCAGGGTGGGCGTTTTACCTGCACGTAGAAGGTCCTGGAGCTGGTTATTATTTCAAACAGGTTGTCCCTCATTAACAGATCACTAGACAGAGAAAAAGAAGGACAGTTACTGGGCATGCGGGTGGATATCCTGGGGCCTCAAGGCTCTAAGTCTAGGCACAGAGAAGAGGAGGATGAAGCTGTCCAAGCCGTTTCTCCTGCAGCCCGTGCCTCCAAAAACAAACAAAAATACGCCTGGGCTTCGTCCAGCTCATGCTACCACCGCCACCACCACCAGAACCACGTGTAACACAGCAAAGCTCCTCCTGCTCCCCACGCTCCCGTCTGGTGTCCACCACTGCCTACAGGTTTCTCTTTCCTTCCTTCGCTCTCTGTCGGTAGCTGATATGTACAGAGTGCTGTGTGGCACACTGGTTTGAAGGCTCTTTCGCATCTGACTTCACCCAGTCCCCACAATGAGCTAGGAAGGTGCCATAAGACGTCTGCACCGATAGACAAGGAAGCCCAGGCTCAGAGAAGCTAAGTGAGACGTGAGTGTCCACAGTGCTACAGATCTGCACACAGGTCTGGCTCTAGGGTCTGAGCTTCCGGTGATTCCATGGCCATTTGTCTCTCCTAAGGGTGCCAGCTCTCCCTTCCCAAAACTTCTCTGCAGGCAAGCAGCAGCCCCATGCACCTCCCCTGAGCCCTGTGCCTGGCTCCCTGTTCTGGGCCCAGGAGACAGAGAGCTAAAGAGAGGCGGAGGCTGAGTGCAGACTACTCTAAACTGGGTATGGGGTCTGGAAGAGCAGTCGCAACTCCTGTAAAAAGGAAGAAAAGACAGATGTAGCCCATGCTCAGGGACAAACCTCAAATGAGCCAAAATGTTTTACAGGGTCAAACGCTTGCCGTGTATATCCAGCTACCGCAGGGAAATATAAAGAGTGAGAAAACTACATCCTACCCTAGAAATAACCCAGGAAAGCCTGCAGTCGTGTTAATTCTATGCCAAGAACATGTGTGTTCTATGCCAAGTCATTCCAGGAAAGGTCCAATCAGAAGCAGGTCGGCTTCACGAATAAAGACTTGGGAGGACATAGCAGGGGCCCAGCCAGTGCCGCGAGCTCTAGACACAGGAGGACCATGAGGCTAAAGAGAAGACAGGGCCAGAGACACACGGAGTCAAATGGTGGCTCGACTTGGGAAGAGGGGCCAGGCTACGTTTTAAAGACATTGTGAGCCTTTCTAAACCCAAGAATAAAACAGGAATAAAAAGACCTTTTTTATCAAGCTGGTGACCACAAAGGTACCGTTATGGTTCAGATCTAGATGTCCCCAGAAGCCTCACGCGCTCACAGGTGGGGCACTGGGGAGGGACTGGATTTTGGGATTGGATCGGCCCACTGATGAGTCTGTAGCTGACTTGTTGCTAAGAGGTGGGTCTGCTTGGAAGAGGAGCTCCCGCGGGGCGTGGCTGGGAGGGTCCACCTCTTCCCAGCCCTCTCTTTGCTCTCTCCTTCCCTCAGCTGTGCCATGAGCTGCTTCTCCGCCGAAGCACCCCGCCTTGGAGCTGCCTCACTACAGACTGAAACCAGATGAAGCTTTTCTCCCTTAACCCGTGGGTAATGAGTATTGTGTCTCAGCAACGAGAAAGAAAGTAAGACAGGTACAGAGGCGTTTGGTACAATGTGATTTCACCGACCTATGAATACTGGTGCTTCTGCGGGGACGGCTCTTCTTCCTGGCTGAATGCCTCGATCTGTTAGACCATTCATGCATGCGATTCATGACCATGTGACCAACTATGGCTGAGCGGAACAAACAGCAGGTAGGAAACCCTGACCCTTTCATCTCTACTTCCCAGTCTTTGTGCTGCCTTTCAATCAGTTCAACTTAACTGAGCAAACATTCACTGACTACTCAGGTGTCCTGAACCTCCTGACGAGGTTCCAGAGAGGCCACACAACTGGCCTTTTTTTTTTTTTTTTTTTTTTTTTTTTTTTGGTACTGGGGATCTAACTCGGGACCTGCGCCTGCCAGGCAGGCACAGCGCCACAGAGCCACATCCCCTGCCCTCCCTCACCTCTTTTACCCAGAGTGTAGTGTGGCTCTGAAGGAATGCAAGATTTAGGGCAAATTCAGGATACTGTAAGGATCGAGCTCTACCCCAACAGGCCACAGGCTCACATCTATGTTGGTGCTCTAAGTTCAGGAACAAGGAAGGACCTCCAAGGGTCCTGTCACGCGCTAAGGCCCTTGGTGGTGGTGGTGGGGCCTATGACGTTTAATTACAGCATCATTGTAGTAGGGTCTGAATATGCTATATTCTCTTGACAACCTCCCAACTCATCCTCTACACTGTGGAAGGTATACAGTGGAAAGAGGAGCGCATGAAAAATACTTATTCTTCCTGCCCAGGGGTAGTAACACAGGTATGTTACAAATCGCCCTGTGCTCGTAAGACAAGGTCAAAAGGAGGAGAGGAAAGGAGGGGAAGTTCATGCAAGAGGCACCGGAAGCAGTGATCTGACCCAAGGCACGGCTCTTCCTCCTGCAGACCGAGTAATCCTAACATCTGAAAAGCATCTTAGCTCCACTGTCCTTATTACTTATTTAAAACAATGAAAAGTGTTTTAAAGGCTCATCTCCTGAGGAGCAGGAAGAAGGTATGCCCAGTGTGACCTCAACCCTACGTCAGCTGGGAGGCAGCGGTCAGCCACAGGCATCGGGCTCTTATTCCCCTCTTGAGGAGGAAGACAGATAAGCAGGGCCTTCGGAGTATAGTTCATGAAGATGTAAGCAAACGGAGATTTTGATCAGAAAAGAATGAGCAGAGACAATTACCCAGACTTGACCAGACACTCGTGCGTCTTGAGAACGTCCTTGAGAAATATCGTGCGCAACGGTTCTCGGTCCTGGTGAGAACAACGTAGAGATAAGCGTGCGAGCTCACACGACCCACTGACCACCTGACCGATGGCCCCTCTTAAAGACGGCTGGCTGAGCCCAGGGTAGTAAGCAACCTGACCTCAAAACAATCATTAAGAGAAAAAAGTCTAAGAAGAAAACGTTCTGAGGCTCTGATCACAGAGCCGCTCACCGCGCAGAAGGCAGGAGCAGCTACCATCACTGTGAGGATGTACAAGTGAGCACTCACACACCTCTGGTCTTCCATGACCCCGAAAGGCCGCACGCTCACTACTAACCTGTTCACACTTGAAGTAGCAGATGGTAAAGTCATCCAGTGCAAAGAAGCGGCGTTTCCAGCTCTTCCGCTGACACGAAAAGTTAAAGCGCTGCACGTTAGAGAGAGGTTCCCACGCCGCAGAGGGTGTTCTGATGCCACCGCCCAGGCACTGAGCCCCGTGGAAGCCAGGCTCCCACCTTCCACAAGAGCCAAGGCTTCACACTGGGGCAAACCTCTGCCACGTGGGACCCACGCCTGCTCCCCAGATCTCCCTGGTTTAGGGAGTGGCTGACAGGGAGGACTGAAGCCCCCCGCTTCATTCTCTCGCCCTTGCTGTGTCCCACAGTCACTGGCTCCGAAGTCACCAGAACCAGACCCAGCCCCTGGGCGGACACTCACCACGTTCCCTTGTTTCACACAGTAGCCACTCTTGATGGGGGGCGGCCCGGTAGAAGCCCGGCAGCCTGACGTGGGGATGTAACTCTGAGACCTCCGCAGGATGGCGTGGGACCCCGGCTCACTCCCTTCCTGCCCATCCCCACCATTCTACAACGGAACAGGGTAGGAATTAGCACCTCGATCACTCCTCTCTATAGCCACACTCCCTCTTCGCCCTCTGGCCAGAGCTCTGCAGGTCTGGAAAGACCCAGAAACACTGAACACAGGCATGGTGGCTCACACCTGTAGTCCCCGCTACTCAGGGCTGAAGTAGGAGGATCACAGGTTCAAGGCCAGCCTAGGCAACTCAGCTAGGTCCTGTCCCAAAATAAAATTTTAAAAGGCTAGGGGTACAGGCGGTGGTAAGGTGACTGTCTAGCATGTGCAAGGCCCTAGGAAGGAAGGAAAGAAAGAAAGGGGAAGGGAGGAAGGGAAGAATAGAGAACAAGAAGGAAGAGGAAGAGAGGAAAGAAAAGAAGAAGAAAGTAAAGGAGGAAGAAAGACTGACTTTGCTCTGGGTGGGAGTTGTGGGGCAAAGGCTACGAACAAGGTCCAGCTTGTACAGTGAGTACTGACCCAACCATGACTACTACAGCGAAGTCTTCTTGTCAAAATGTACTGAGCACCAAATTCCAAGTTCCAAAACAGTAGCATACCATGGTGAGACTCAAGGATGCTGGGCAGGCTCAGGTGGAAGGGAGAGACAGAGGCTACAAGCCACAAAGGGAGTGAGGACCGAGAAGGGAGAGGGAGAGGTGTGCCGTAGGCTTGTCTCTAGCTCCCTTGCCTGCCTTGACCTCACTTCCCTGGTCATCCCCTGGGCCTTGGGCCGGAGCCTCCCAGCCACACAGCCTCACTCTCTGCACCATCGTTACACCTCCGGCCACCGTGTTCTGATCACTCATTTCCTGACCAACCCCACTCGGTACAGAGCCCGTGCACATCACTGCACACAGCACACTTCCCACCTCCCTGTCCCCCCCTCGAGCCAGGACCCAGCACCTGCTTGATGGGTGTGTGCACCACCACCCCACCGATGATCTCTGTCTTGTAGGCCACCTGTGGCTTCTTCTCCAGGGCTGCAGGGGCCGTGAGGCTTTTGAGAACTTCAGCGGTCAGAGTTGGTAGGCTCCCAGCTTTGGGTACCTAGGGGAAAGGGCAGTATGGTCAATCCAGAAGGCTTAGGAAAAGCAGGGACCCTTAAAGCAGGACGGGGGCAGGAGGAAGAGCAAATGTGCCAAGCTATAATGAGTCCCTTCTCTCCCCAGCTGTGATGGTTCAGAGCTAAAACGTACCCTCAAAGGCCGACACTCGGAGGCAAGCCCTGGTCAGAAGGGTCGGTCACTAGAGGTGACTTCAGACTGGGAAGGGCGTTTCTCACCCCAGCTCCTCCCTGTCTCTCGCTTCCTGGCTGCCCTATGGTGCACAGCTTTGCTCTGCCATGCTGCTTGGCCATTGCCACTTCTCCCTCGGAGTCTGCCAACCAAGGACTGACTCCCCTGGAACCAGGAGCCAAAACAAACCTCTCCTCCTTTCAGATGCCGGCAACTGGGCATATCGTCCAGGGATGAGAAAGTAACTAATACAGCAGCCCGCCCATCAATTCATACCTGAATATGAGGAACTCAGCCATCAATCCCCTGAACGCACGAATGTGCGTGCACACACACACACACACACACACGCACGCACGCACGCAACAAACTTACTCCACAAATTTACTGACCACTTATACGAGTCAGCCTTTCCCTGGTCAGAAGCCAAAGATTATAAACATCGAAGAAAACAGACAACAAAACAGACAAGAGTTCTCCCCTCGGGGCATTTACACACTAGCAGGTAAGACTGACAAAAAAGTGCACAGCAATACGAGCAATCCAAGTACCTACAGAAGGCAGGGTCTTCCCCGGGAAAGTAAGAGGGAGCTGTGGCAGGGAGCAGAGGGGAGCGACTAGAAATGGAGCAGATGAGGAAACTGCAGGAAAGCAGAGATGAGAGAAGGAACAGTGGACAAGCAGAACAGAGAAAAATGCTATGAAAGAGCTGGGCGTGGAGCCCAAGCAAGTATGAGACCTTGGGTTCAATGATTTCCAGAGTGGGCAGAGGTCGGAGGAGCATATACGGCTACAGGCTTATGTGACAGGCTGCAGGGAGAAGGCAGGCACACTAAACATATGGTCCAGAATTACCTCCAGGCATGCACAAAGGTATAAGTGAAAGACTAATGAAGACGTGCTTACACATGGGCCCCATCCCCAGCCCCAAGATTTCTCATTATGTACAGTCTATGCAAATATTCCCAAACTCCAAAAAATCTGCAACCAAAACACTTCTGGTCCCAAGCATTTCAAATAAGGGACAGTCAAACTGTATAAGGTTACTTCCACATCTCAAGTCTTGAAATTAGTCAGTGAAAACAACCACACCTGAGCTACACAGCTTGAAAAGGTCGTCCTTTTGTTAATTCCTAAACCCGAGGCCTAACGAAAGGTGCGCCCTCCTCCACACCTGTGCAGTGTCCTGATGAGGGAGATCTGTGGTTTAATCTGCCGTGTGCAGTTCAGTTTGCAAGGACTCACCCTTCTTCTCGTCACATGCAACTAGACTACTACGAGGAACGACCCAACTTTAGTGGAAGACTGAGCTTCCCTTCACTCAATTTTCAACTTTTTGTGAATAAACAGACCACCTCAGAAAGCGTTCCTACTTGAAAGTAGGGTCAAGATGCCATGAAGGGAGAGATGAGGCCATACTGTCTTAGGAGGGGCCCTAAGTCCAGTAACTTGTGACTTTATAAGAAGAGGAGGGGGAAAAAAAAGAAGAGGGGACACACAGACACACAGAGAAAGGACAGATGCAAACAGGCAGACACGGAGTGGTACAGCTACAAGCCAAGGCATGCTGCGATTGCTGGAAGTCTGCAAAAGCCAGGATGGAAAGGAAGGCCTGTCCCCTAGCGTCCCGAGGGACTGTAGCCGTCTGATACCCTGACTTCCAAGTTCAGCCTCTGGAACTGAGAGACGTACATTTACAAGGTCTTCAGCCACCCAGTTTGCTACAGCAACCTAGAAATCTAAAGCGGGGTCACTATTATTCTGAGAGAACCCACTTCTTTAAATATCTAATGTTAAACATTTTCCTCAATCATAGGGGTTCATACGACCTTAAACAATGCAGGATATAAATTCAATAGTAAAAATAAATAGCTTGTTTATATACGAATAATGAACCTGATGAGAAAGAAATCAAGAAAATAATTCCATTCATAGTAGTTTAAAAACAGACAAACCTAGGGATCAACCTACCCAAGGAGGTGAAAGACCTCTAGGATGAAAATTACATAGCACCAATGAATAAAATTGAAGACACTACAAGATAGAAAGGGCTCTCATGTTCATGAAGTAGGAGAATTAACACTGTTAAAATGGCCGTATTGTTAAAGGGGATCACAGATTTAACACAATTAAAATTCCAATGATATTCTTCACAGAATTAGAAAACACATCCTAAAATTCATGTGGAAACACAAAAGATGAAGAGTAGCCAACGCAATTCTGAGCAAAAACAGCAAGGTAGGAGGCATCACAATACCTAATTTCAAATTATATTACAAAGCCATAGTAACAAAACAGCATGGTGCCAAAGCAAAAATAGACCAATGAAGCAGAATAGAAGACACAGAAGCAAACATGCACAGCCATCTGCCTCTTGACAAAGGAGTCAAGAACGTATGTTGCAGAAAAAATAGCCTCCTCAAAACATGGTGCTGGGAAAACTGGATATCCACATGTAGACTGAAACCCGTGTAAAAATCAATTCAAAATAGATCAAAACCAGGTATAAGACCTGACACTTTGAAACTACAGAAAACATAAGGGAAACATGTGAAATCACAGGCACAGGTAAAGACTTCCTGAATAGGACTCCAATAGCACAAGAAATAATATCAAGAATCAGCAAATGGGATGACATCAAATTAAACAGTTTCTTCACTGCAAGAGAAACAACCAACACAGTGAGAAGGCAGCCTACAGACAGGGAGAAAATCTAGCCAGCTACCCTTCTGACAAAGCATTAATATTAGAAAGTATAAGGAACTCCAAAAACCTTAACATCAAAAACAAAACCCAAAAGACCAATGAATAGCCTAATCAAAACACTGGGCAAATGAACTGAACAGATTCTTTCTTACAAACTAAGCATTAAAAATGGCCAATAACCATATGAAAAAATGTTCAACAACTACAGCAATTAGGGAAATGCAGTGCAAACCAAGACTGCACTGGGCTTTTGTCTCACCCCACTCAGATGCAATCTCATCAAGAATGCAAAACCAAAACAAAGGCAAGAGTGCTGAGAAAAAGCAGCCCTCCACCCTGCTGGTAAGAATGTAAATTAGTATAGCTGCTAGGGAAGTCAGTCCAGAGGCTCAGAACTAAAAAATTAATACCATATGACCCACCTATACCACGCCTCAGTACAGCCCAAAGAATCAAAGACAGCGTACCATGGGATACCCACATACCCGCAATTCACAACCGCCAAGACCCAGAACCAGCCTGGGTTTGCACTCATGGGCGAATGGATAAACACGTGGTATGTATACACAGTGGAATGAAATCTTGTCATTTTCAGAAAAATGGGTGGAACTAAAGATCATCGTGTTAGGCAAAACACTTTCGAGCCAGATCAGAAAGACAAGTGTCACGTTTTCCCTGATATGGAGGGACCCAGGACCCAGCAGTATCTGGCTGCAGGAGCCAAGACAAGCAGCAAGAATGGTGAGAACCACAAGTTCTAGTGTGCACATCAAGCACCAAACAAGCAACGAGTACCAAAGTTCTCACATCCGAATGCGCTGAGCATCAGAGTCAGCGAGTGGAGCAGTCCACTGGACCCAGGCAGACTGTAGAATCTAAAGACGATGACAGGAAAGGAGAAGGGAAATTGTTACTATTAGACAAGAGAAAGGGAATAAGGAAAGAGGAGTGTAAAGAGGGGAACGGGAGAACATGGGAGGCTGAGGCAGGAGGATCCAAGTTCAAGCCCAACTGGGAAACTTAGCGAGATCCTGTCTCAATATTGAACCTCAATATTTTGTAAAATTAATATACACTCATAAAATACATTTTTAAAAAATGAAGAGTAATCTATGGGCAGAAAAACTGGATGTGTCCTAGTTCTGTGATCTCAGGCAAGTACTTTAATGTCTAGGTATTTCTATTTCCTCCCTTAGGTAAACAGGGATAATAACCCTTGTCCTTCCTACTTAAGGTTTTTACAAGGTTAAAATGAAGCCACACACACACATAAAAGCAGTGTGTGACCTAACATACTTTACAACTGTTTATTTTTAATATTTTTATAAACTATAAACTCCCCAGAAGTCAGGGGACTGGGTTAGAATCCCAGCCCTAGCAGTTACTGTCCTCTTGAGCTAAGGCACATGTCTGAGCTCCATGTGCCTGCACAAAGTGGCCTTAATACACCGTGTCTCAGCTGGGGATGTAGCTCAGCGGCACCGCACCTCCCTTGAAAGCGCAAGGTCCTGAGATCGATCCCCGGTTCAAAAGAAAACACCCTGTCTCTTAAGAGTGCTGGCCAAGGGCGACACATCATGTGTGGAAGTCTCACTTATTACACAACCGCTCCCTCTTTCATCTCTGCCTTCTCCGACATGCCTCACTTGGCTGGCACATGTGGTGTCTAAAATCTGTGCTTCATCACGTGGTATCACAGCCCCAACTCTGTCCAACTTACTCCAGCCTCTCTAAGGAAGAACACACAAAACGGAACTCTGCAGGAGGAGGAGAAAGGATGGACGCCAGGTAGCGCAAGCTTGTCATTCCAGCAGCCTAGGAGGCCGAGGCAGGAGGATTCGAGCCCAACAGGGCGACTTATCGAAATTCTGTCTCAAAACGGGCTGTGGATACAACTCAATCCCCAATATCAGAAAAGGAAGGGGGGAGGGGAAAGGGGAGAGGGAGAAAAAGAGGAGGAGGGGGGAGGAGGAGAAAGGGACAGGAGGAGGGAAGCTGAACAGGGCAGGGAAGGGAGGAAGGAAGGGAGGAGGGGAGGGGAGGGGAGGAGAGAGGGAAAGGAAGAAAAAGGACAGGAAAACCCTACTGAGACACAGAGAGATGAGAAAATACTGCACCCGTCCTCCTCCTCCTCCTGCACCACAGGGCCTTCTGGCGGGAGGAGTGATGAGGAAAAGCACCCCTCGGCAGCCAGGGAGACCCCAGCGCTCCGATGCTCAGTGAGAACAAGTGGACTGAGGTCTGCATGGAGCCTGTGCACCGCCTCCCGCGTACTTCAAACGCCTTTCAGTGGTTTGGGGAGGTGCCGTGGAAATAGCTGTTGCACTGTATTGTTTATGGATTCGTGGCAAGAAACAAATCTACGTGTCCAGTGCAGACAACTGTCTGGAAAGCCACTGTTTTAAATCTATAGATACGCAGTCCATGGATCCTTGACCAAGCAAAGGGAAATAAAGAGGATCCTGGAGACTGGCAATTCACAGAGGTGCTGACATCCAGGAGGCCCTGCCACCTTCCAACCTCAGGCCCAGCCCATCCCCTCCACCCCACATCCTGCATGCGCTGCTCTGTGAAGCCAGAGAAGAGGCAGGAAAAACCAGACAACTAGAGCAACACTACATCTAAGACACAAAATACAGACGAGTATCTGGGTAAGACGCTCCGTGGTAGAGCACAGGCCTAGCATGTTCAGTCCCCAGCACCAAAATAAAGATGGTTAAATAAAGGGCTGGAGGTATAGCTCAGGGGCACAGCATATGCTTAGCTTGCATGAGATCCTGGCCAGAATCCCTAGCACCAAGAAAAGGACAGAAGGGAGACAGGGAGCGGGGAAGGAAAGTCTCCTCGCCGCCTTGCAGGCTGTCTAGCCCAGTTTACTTCCAAGAGGCAGAAACCCAGGAGGAAACTAGCCAGGCGTGGTGGTGCACACCTGGTAACTCCAGCTACCTCGGGGGACTGAGGCGTGAGGACCACAAGTCTGAGGCCAGGCTGAGCATAATTAGTGACAGCATGTCTCAAAACAAAATGTTAAAAAGGCTCGGGTGCACCTCAGGGGCAGATCGCCTGCCCATAAGCCCAAAGCCCTGGGCTCCGTCCCCAGTACCTTCCCCACACACACCTGAGTTTTCCCCCACCCCAGGCAGGCCACGGCCGGGAAGGGACACTTTTCACACCACGAGGAAGAAGAAACCACACACGTACAGTGATCTTGCTGGCGTGGTTCAGGGCTTCAACCCAGTCCTTCAGGTCTTTCTGGTCATTGGCTTGAAGAAAATATCTCTGCGAGAGGGCATTGATTACTGTAAAGACAGGGGAGGGGTGAGACATTCCCAGGTCAGAGAACGTGCAACACAGCAAGACCCCACAGAGCTACAGTGTCGGAGGAGGCCAGGCGGGTAACGCCCACTGCGTGGGTTGAGAAATCCCCTAGGATGTGGTCCGTGCCGGCGATTAAGAGGCAGCAGGCCACTCGACTGCGCTTTCTTACTCACACCTTTAAAACTAAGATTATTCCGCCAGCCAAGAGAACGCAGCCTGACGTGAACAGCGGCCCCGATGCACCGTTCTGGGACAGCGAGCTGCTGATGCCCCCGAGAGTCACTCCCAGCAGTGCGGCCAGATGCATGGTTGTGATGACACATCCGTAATGTTGAACCCCGTACTCTGAGTCGCACTGGCACACGGGCCTGGATTACAAGCCTGGTTGGTTGCTGGGAACTGGAACAAAGCTTGCCTGAGACCAAAGCTGTGGTCCTGGCATCCTCTGCAAGCGGCCCTTTCCTCTGCGCATTCCATTCAGTCAACAGTTTACTTCTGGGCTCATTATTATTATGTGAATGTTTGCATCCTCCGGTCACACAATCTGAGAGCCATTTTGAGCTCAGCGATGGCATTTGAAAGAAACGGGAGAACGAGCGCGCCGAGGACGTGCAAACCAATCCACAGCCGAGAAGCAGATGGCTCGGGGGCTCTCGCATTCTACAAGCGGAGCTGAAGCACTGCGCTTAAAATGGAAGGGGCAGAACGCGTCAGCTCACTCGTTCACTCGGCCAATGCTTGAGCACCCGCTACGCTACGAGCTCCTCTAGGTGCTGAGGACACTCCAGCGCCACAGCAGAGGACTAGATCTGTTTTCCTGATACACACAGCGCCTGCCCATGGCAACGGGTGCAGCTCCACGAACACGGTGGGCTCCAGCAACTCTCCCGTGACCGGCAATTCAACGGTGCGAGGCCTCCACCAAGCGGCTGTGTCACTTGCTCAGCGACACTAGGACTCGCCATAGAACACTCTTTCCTTCCCGTGGTCCTCTTCCTGACCCCTCACCCTGAGGGTCCACCTTTCCTGAGCACAGCATCACTTGACTTTGTTTACCCATTTTGCAGTACCAGGGACTGAACACAGGGCCTTCACCCTGAGCGACGTCTCTAGCCCCTTCTATTTATTATTTTATTTTATTTTATTTTGAGACAGGACTCCCACTAAAGTCACTCAGTTGCCCAGACTGGACTCCAACTTCCAATATTCCCACCTCAGCCTACCAGAGCACTGGGATTACAGGACTGTGCCACCACACCCGGCCATTACTCAGTTCTAAAAGGAGGATTCCCAGAAACTTCTATAGAGTTTTTACATCCTCCCTGTGGCATCAAGAAAACTGAAACATCACTGGTCCTGTGCACCTGTCCTTATGCTGCAAAGAATTTTCCCAGCAACACCAGAGGAGGCAGTATCACTTGACACACGGTGGATTTATGTCTCTCACACACGCACGTGATCACAGTACTTCCTCTGTTCAAAACAGGAAGTTGCTACCTGAGTACGTCCCAGCTCCGTACTTACCAAAGCAAAATGGAGTTTTTGGTTTCTGCTTTGGAGTAGCGATGCTCACCTACATCAATAAGAAATAAAGAAAGGAACATGAGTGTGCTTTCCAATGGTGTTAAAAACTTCACTGTGAAAGTTTTCATATATCAAAAGTACATCAAACACAAGTACTTTTTACATGTGCTTTTACATTTTAAGGAATAACAACTAAGAAACCCACACTTTTACTTCAGTTAAGAAACAGGCATTATGATCCCATGTCTTAGAAGCCTTTAGCGTGTCCCGCCCCGACAGAAACCCAACCTCTCAGGGATAACTGCTATCTCCGTGCCTGGACTGGTTTGTCTTTGTGAATAGTCACTGCGTCCTGACAAGATTCTCTTTGGCCCACAGGCCCTGGCATAGTCCCACTCACACTAGCAAGATCTCACTCCCCCTTCAAGTACTAACTCTCCCCTTCCCAAACATCTCCAAATTGAGAGTGGTGTTGCTTAGATCCCAACCAGAGCACTCAGAAATAGGACACAGCAGCCACAGGATGTGTTTGGATCCTGAGCAGCTGCCCCGAGAGCTACCCTGACCATGCAGACAAGCACTTCCCCAGCCAGAGAAGGGCCACCGAGTCATCTCGGGTATGGCCCTGAGACAGTGGAAGTATTTCTGTGCCCTCCTTGGCTCCAGTTCACCTTGTTTTCACAGGCTTCCCTCTGCACGTATTCCTGAGCATTGGCCTAGATGAGCTGACATCATTCTGGTTCAAACAGGGCTCAGTACCTGTCCCTGGTGCTGGCTGAATTTCAGGAGCAGCTCTAAGGGGCAGCCACCTACCCACAGGACCTACTCACACACTGCCACTATCCTCACCTGGGTACTATTCCTTCAATCCCCTTTCTGGTCAAAATTAATGTCTCTTCGCCAGGTGTGGTGGTACACACCTGTAATCCCAGCATCCTAGCAGGCTGGGGCAGGAGGATTGCACGTTCAAGTCCAGCCTGGGCAACTTTGCGAAGCCCTGTCTCAAAATTAAAAATAAATAAATAAATAAAAGTCTGGGGATGTAGCTCAGTGCCAAGGCCCTGGGTTCAATCTTCAGAACCACAAAGCAAAGCAAACCAGAAGTCTCGTCATAGCTCACTGCTGCTGGGATCTAATAATGACTAACTCATCAGGCTAAGTAGGTGTTTGCTCGTGATCCTAAGTTCTTCCTCATAGACCTGCCTAGATTCCTTAACCAAAACTAATACTGCCCAATTACCAGGAACCGAGGTAGCAGCCTATAAAGGATCAAAAGGACATTCAGTACGGCCCGGGCTTTGGAGGTTGTCCCAACCCACAGGCATCCCGTCCCGACCGTGTGACCTCCATTGTATGTTCTATCAAACACAGGCAACAACACCATGTTCTGACAGGGTTAACATGAGCGTGTAGGTAAGGCACTTCCCCGTCCTGTCATACAGAATCTGGTTATTCAGGGAGGGACAACTCACAGCTTCCAATAATGCATCGCTTTTACAAACCCACTCCACACAAAAATACATCAGTGCCACCCCTGGAACTATGGACAAGATGCTGACAGCCCATGAGCAAAAATGTACGAGACCTGAAAAAATGCCTGGCTTCCAACATACAACACAGAGGGGGCACATCCAATACTAACAAATATTTAAAGTTTCCATAACAGTATATTGTCCTCACTGACAAGAATTTAAACAAATGCACTCAAGATGTCACATTAAATCACCTTCACTCATTAAGCATTCAAAATGTTTTCATTAAATTCGAAAATGGTTTGTAGCTGACGTCTTAGTTAACAAGAATCCTTGTGCGTATGTGCAAGACGATTGCCTAGAAACTGGGGATAAACTTGGTGCATTGTTCCCAGCCAAATCAGTCCAAACTAAAAGGCACTCTTTCAAGTATTTTATAGCTAAACAATCAGACAGAAGTTTTTTCTCCTAAGACGCAGATGGGTGTATTTTGGCTCACGGCTCCCACGTCTGGGACAGTCCCGAGGCGGCTGAGGCTATCACAAGGTAAGAGATGGGAGTGGCGTACGTGTGCACGTCCCAAGCACTCTACTTAGTGAGGGAAATCGGCGTGCTTTGGTATGTTTACCATGACGTGAGGTGGGGCCCACAGACCCTGAGTTCGGATTCAGACTACACAAATCCCGTCACATCTGCACAACACGGGAAGCTGGGACCCCAGCACCACAGGCCTGGCTCCGTGGTGCCTTGTCTTCTGGGACGCCTGGACCCTGTTTTGGTCCTGTAGTGACTCGCTCTCCTGCTCTTTCCCTCGCGTTTCCATGCATCCTCCGGCCACAGCGGATCTCCTGCTCGTCCTCCCCTGGTTCCCGCAGATCCTCCCCTCCCAGAGCTGCTCTGGCTGCCCGGGCCCCTAACACCCACCCATCTCGTGGAGCTACTTCTCACCCAGCTTTTGCACGGTACTGAAAAGCTGGGCACTTAAAGATGCTCTCTGGCTCATTCAGAAAATCGTCTTTTTTCCAAGAAATCCGTATGCATCACTGATCGGAGATAACACTGCTGGCTGATGTGCTCGCCCTGTTGAATCAGAAATGGTTCACTCTGGCCACAACTTCTTACTCAGCCACCACCGAGAGCACTAACCATGTGCTTATTATGGGCCCAGAGCATGTCGCTTTTTTGCTTGTTTTTCTGATTCCCTGGCTTTCTCAGTGGTGCACAAATGTACGCCTACACTTCACGGCTTATCACAGAGGAATAATTCGGCAAAGCAGCTTACTGCCAAACTAATGGAATTTCTCTAGCTCTGCCCTGATTGGCTGTGCAGCAAGTGTAAAGTCCACCAGCGTCTCTGATCAGCTCCCCAGTGAAAATACTCATCTTTTTCTTATTGTCAGCAAACATCACAGGAATAAAATGAAGTCCCATCTATCTGTTGCTGTGCCCACAGAGAAGGGCCAAACAGGATACCTCATTTTTACAGAGTTACAGCTTTGGTCCCCCCCTGATATCCTGCACACCCCACTGGGAGATGTGGTCCCCCACTACCCACCCCACTGCCTGTGGGTGATCTTGCCAGGTGGTTACAGCATCCTCAGATAGGGCGGCAGAATAAGACCCTTCCATGGCAGTGTGACTCAAGCATTCCACAGCCCGAGGTGGCCACAGCTGAGATGCTACATGGCAGTGGCTGGCTGGTGGGTCCTGTCAACCAGCAACAGGGAGAGAGGGCTGCCCATGGGCCACCCGTGCAGTGACAAAGGCAGGGAGCCGCCTGCTGCACGGTTCAACAGACTCTCTGCTCTTATCAGATTGAACGCAGACCACAGAGGCAGCAAGTGCATTGGCATCAGGGCACCGCTGGGGTCAGCCCCACCTGTCTGCCCTTAGCCGGAAATAGAGCTAGGGCCCCTCTGACAGAAGCAGCAGCAGCCAAACAAGGTCTTAAGAGCACTGCAGGGCTCTGCCCCAGTGTCTGGGGTCACCTTGCCTCTGTAGGCAGTAAGAGCAGGGGAATAAGCCAAGTGTCATCCCAACACTGGGAGGCTGAGCCAGAAGGACCACAAGTTCAAGCCCAGCCTGGGCAGCTTAGCAAGACCCTATGTCAAAAAAAATTTTTTTTAATGAAAAGGACTGGATATGCAGCTCAGTGCAAAGACCTTGGGTTCCACCTCCAGCACCACTAACTAATAAATGCACTAGATGGCTGGAAAAGAAGAGAGGCCCATGAGACAAAGAAGGAGGGTGGGTAGGCAGTACCAACCACCAGCTTCGATTATTTTCTATGGTAGCCAGCACAGGAAATGGTTCTGCCACAATGGCTGACTTGAGTGACGTCAGCTCAGGCATGGGCCTCTCTGGAAAACCGCATGCTCATCCCCCTCTTCCCAACATGACCCTCAGCAGGCACCTCCGGGAGCTGAAAGGCGAGGCCATGTGACACGGTGGGCACACACCTCCCCTGGGAGGAAGACCTGCAGGTTAATGAGAAACAACCCCAAGCCAGGCGCAGAGGAGCAAACCCCACAGCGCTGAAAGGCTGAGGCAGGAGAATTCTAAGTTGGAGCCCAGCCTGGGCAACTTACTAAATTGAAAGAAAAAAACAGAAAAAGAAAGTAGCTCAGTGTGAAGGCCTTGGATTCAAACCCCAGTCATGGGAGAGAGAAGGGGGTGAGGTGGACAGAGACAACCAGGACCACTGACCCAGACACAGCACCAGAGCTGAAAGCTCCACTGGGAGAAGCCCTGCCTTTCGGCACTGAGTCAGGCAGGAGTTAAAGGCTTTCAGCTCTCTGTAACCTGACCCAGGAGCAGCTGTGGATATTGCAAAAGGCCCACAAGGCCCTCAGGCCCCATCTCAGGATGAGCTGAAAGTCAGGTCATCTTTTCTTAACAAGGCAGCCTCCAAAGCAAAAAATACTAAAACCCTCCTCTGAGCTGCACTTATAACTCATGATTCAGCAGGAGATTATATTTGCTCTTGCCTCCCCGAAAAAGTCTTTCCAAAGCCTCTCCAACAGAAGAGTTTCAGCTTTCATTTTTTACAGGCTGTCTGCTCGCTGCTCTCTCATTCCTCTTTCTGGAGAAATGAGCTCATAGGAGATGGGGACAGGAGGCCTCAGGCTGGGCCGGCTGGTCTGGGGAGGCCGTCACATTCCGACCGCAAGGCGCACAGAAAGTGCCCGCAGCTGTGCTAGCAAAGCTGGCTTTCGCAGCGCTCCCCCTTCCCCCGAAGCCATGGTCTTCTTCGTCTAAGACAAGTCTGTGCTGACCAGCATCTTCTGTCCCTGCACCCGGCTGTAGCTGCCAGGCTCTGCCCACAGCCTGCAGGCTCAGGTGGCCCAGCCACTCCTCCTACAGCTGGACACTCAGACACCTTGAGTGACCCCTTCTTGAGTGGAAGAACACACGGCCCCTCAAGGTGTCAGGAGACTAGGGGCCCCTTGGCTCAGTGACCCCTATAGGTCTCAAGGCCCAGAGGGCAGGAGAAGGTGGGCAGGACACGATGGCCCCAGGAGGTCTGCAGTGAGGGTTGCATGGGGAGAGCAGGTTTTCCCGAGCTGCAGAGCTGGCTAGGGGCCACCTGGCTCTGCTCTCTGCACAAAGTGTTCCTCACTCTGGGGAGTTCTCAGTCCACAGCTATCTATCGCTGGGGCATCGCTGGGAAGCAGTGGTGTCTGTCCCAGGGAGGGGCTGCTAAAAGCAGCTGAATTCAGCAGTTACTTGCGGGCATCGTTAAGCGGCCCCCACCCCGAATCCTGACAAAGGAGTCCAACAAACCGGGCCAGGGCTGCTGGCCAAACTCTCAGCAACTACCGGGCTGCTGAGTGTGGTCCTGGCGCACACGAAGACGTTCCCCAGGCTTTCTTTTCTTAGCCTTTCATCAGCAGGCATCCTATCCGGGTGGCTGATATGACCCTGAGCTGCTGCAGTTGGACCCTCTGGGAGAATCCTTTACAGCTCCTGGATTTCTGCTCCTTTTTGTCGTTGCCCCCCTCCCACAAAAAGTTTACAACATCCTGGTCCTATTCCCAGCTCAATTACCAGCTACCATTCCCTCTGCAGAAGTACAATATACACTACTATGTTTGGATGAGAACTGCCCCCCACAGGCCCAAGAAAGGCTTGGTGCTCAGCTCCGAGCCCCTGGGAGTGGTGCAGCCTTCAGCAGGTAGGGTACAGGGGAGGTCTTTAGGTGGCTGGGAGGTGCCCTCGAAGAGCATCGTAAGACCTCAGTCTCTCTGTCTCTGTTTCTGTCCCTGTATGCACGTGTCTGTCTGTCTGTCTGTGTGTATGTGTCTGTCTGTCTGTGTGTGTGTGTCTCTCTCTCTCCCTCCCTCGCTCTCTGTTTCTGTTTGTTTTTTTGCTTCCCAGCCATGAGGTAAGTGGTTTTGTTCTGAGACCTCTTTCCACCATAATATGTTGCCCCACTACAGGATCCAAGGAAACCAGCCAACTCATCATGGACAGAAGCCCCTAAAACCTTTCCCCCAAAATAAACCTTTCCCCCTGTAAGTCTATTATTGCAGGTATTTGTTACAGTGATCAAAAGCTGACTGGGCTGGGGATTTAGCTCAGCAGTTCCACCGCCTGCCTGGCAAGTGCAAGGGCCTGTGTTCGATCCCCGGTACCAAAGAAAAGAAAAGCTGAGCAACACGTGGGGTGTGGAGTGCTCAACCCCTCCACCCACCATCGGCAGCACAGCCTCCTCTGGCGGTGAATGGGGGCATTTTAATGCCATGGAATGTCCCCAGAGGCGAACACCCCAAGGGTATGCCACTTCCTCATTTAGCTACTCTAAGAACATGAATTTCCAGAACGCCAGGCCAACGTTACCTTCGAGATGTAGGTCAGCTGCAAAGATCCGACAGCTCCAGCTCCCGCAGCCAGGTTCTGAAAGACACGTTGTCACTTTAGGAAGGATGCTCCACAAGGCAGCGAAACAGCCCTGAGGGTCAGGAGACCCAGGTTTGCGTTCAGTTTATGTCACTTTCAAGCCTCACAACCTTAATCAAGTCATAGTCACTCTTGAGCTCACTTTCCTTACCTGTAAAACTGTGGTGACAACAGTTCCCAAACATTCCAGTGACAAAACTGCAGATTTCCTCGTCAACCTGTATCATCAGTGTGACCCCTCGGCCTCCTTATCACAGTGAGCTATTCTAGGGCGGCGGTCCAAGTGTGTGCCCCACCACTCAATGGGCAAGGCCCTCACCTACTGAGCCTCAGCCTTCCTTTCTGTACAAACGGCTTCGGTCTGGAAATGTTTGGGATTTTAGGACTTTATTCTGAAATTTGGAATATTTGCACATACAATGAGAAAACCTGGGGATGGGACCCCCGCCTAAACACAAAATTTCATTTACGTTTCATATACCCTTTATATACCCAGGCTGAAGCTAATTTTATATATGATTTTCAGTGCACCTACGTTTTGACTGCAACTAGTATCATGAGGTCAGCTGTGGAATTTATGGCAACGTGTTACCTTCAAAAAGTTTTGAGTTTTGGAGCATTTCAGATTTTGGATTTCAGATTAGGAATGTCTAACCTTGGAGTTCAGTGGTAAGGATGAGTTTGTACATTTCAGAGCCCTTGGAATTATCCTTAGCACACAGAATACGCTCTCTAATGCCAGTTGTTACATTTTTTTTCTGCCAATTGCTCTGGTCTCGACAGCTTTATCCTCTTCTATGTCATTTCAAAATTCTTTTCAAAGCCGACAGTACATAATCTCAGACCATACAGCAGTACCTCAGTTTCTGAACTCAATTCTTTGCATGATTCTGGTCACAAACCAAGCTGGACAAGAACCGAATCAAATTTTCGCATTAGGTCCACACTGATCTTAACTACTGAATTGGATTCGGTTCTCATCCAACTCAGTTTTCAACCAGAATCGTAGAAAGAATCAAGTTCATGAACCAAGGTACCACTGTACAGAAATTTAAAAATATACCCATTAGGTTATGTCACAGGACTGTTACAAGTCCCAAATGAAATGATGTCTATGCACTGAAATCACTAAGTAAATGGACTATTAAAACACCAGGAAGCTCACAGGCTTGTACTTGACCTTGACCTTGGCATACCCTTAGCTTTCTAACCTCTCCACGAAGCAGATGAAATAATGGAGACAAGACATTAACACAGCACGGTAAAGGCCAAGATTAGAAATCAGCTGTAGCATAACCTGGGAATCTGTCTGCAGTTCATAGTGGTACTGGCTTCCCAGAAATATCTGTGAATGCCCCACCACCCAGGTTTATCTCAAAACAATAAAAGGAGACAGATTTTAGATCACAGGGGTTTAATAAATTTACCTAAGGATTAATAGAGATCATTCCAAGAGAGGGGCTCAAGAAATAGCCTCGGTGGTAGGGAAGAGTCCTAGCCCCAGTCAGCTAAGTCAACATACATCTGTGGAACAAATGCAATATATGAAATTTCCTGTCCACAAGAAAAAGACTCTCAGAACCCTGCGGTCTTACTGAAGGACTGAGAAAAGGCCATGTACTCCACCACCTCCTTGTTCAAGCGAGGTAGGAAATGCAGAGACTGCCTCTGAGTGTGGGGAGAAGTTCTGTGGTGGAGGGCGCAGCACGTGTGGGCCCCAGGCTAATAAATAAACGAAAGCTGCCTTGAAGTAGCCAAGTTACCATTTAAAACAGAAGTGATCCGGTTTACATGTTTCCTTGTACTTACACACTTTTTAAATTTCACAGCAAGTTTTTTTAAAGGAAACCTCCATGCGTTTGAGGAAGACAGGCCATGTCACTCCCAGGTCAAAGTCCAAAGAGGAGCTACCAGGCAATGTCAGGAGTGACAGGCACAGCCCAGAGGGGACCGTGAGCCGCTCTGGGCAGACTCAGCTCCAGTGTCTCCTGAACTGTTGGGCTCACATTCGCCCAGACTCGTGGCCAAGAGCCCCAGGACATGGAGAGCCGCGGGCCTCCGCCTGACACTGGACATCTGTGCCCACCGCGCTGTTCAGTCCAGGAAGGTGGCCTGTGTGTGAAGGGCTCGGTCCAAGGCCGTGAAATTGGCAGCAGAGCTGAACGAGAGCTCAGTTCTGATCCCCCATGATGCCCTAGAGCTGCAGGGTGTAATTCTAAAAGCTTGAGCTCTCGGAATTTTAGGTAGGACATTAACATTCCCTGACTGGAGGCGAGTTTCTCTTCCTATGAAACAGAGATAACAAGCCCTGTGTCACAGGCTGGTTAGGAGAATCACATGAAAATACACAGCGAGAGCCCAACGCAAGGCAGCTCCTGCCACCCTCCATGAGCTAATTACAGGATGTCAAAGCCAAGGCTCAGGGTGACGCTTGTGTAACTCTCTCCTCATCCCAGACCACAGCCCAGAGGCCTCCAGGGCCCCATCTTGAATTATGAGTGATGAAGTGGGACTAGGGAAGCCGTTTGAGCTCCAACCCACACATAACCAGACGGGGACTGATCACATTTCAACTACTTCATCCCTCGATGCCCCTGGAGGCTTCTCCGCCCTCTGCCCCAGCCTCCTGCCAGCTCAGAATGTCAAGGCAGCAGCCCAGCTACCTAGGGTGAGGGTGGTGGTCCTCTATCCACCCACACCCTTCTCCAGGGCTCCAACACAGCCCCTCTCCATCCTGAGAAGCCAGGAAAATTTGACTAATGTCTGAAAACACCACTTCCCTCCCCACCCGGGGGAAATGGGGACACAGGAGAAAAAGACCCAGGGTTCCTGAGGATTTGATCCACAGTGACGCTCAGTGTCCACTCCAATTACTGGACCTAGAAGACGGATGGTGACAGCTCACTGCCAGGGTGTCGCAGAGGCAGCCCCAGCAGACACTTCCTGATCAAGGACGGGTATGCTAACGGCCTGAGGGGAAGCCTGGGCAGCCAAATGGCAGGACAGGAAAGCCAGGAATCAGCAGCACCCAGGGAGGGACACTGTGTCAGAGCTAGGGACAGGAGTCCCATGCACTGCCTCCCCTGAGTTTATCCAGGCAAAAGACCACTTGGGACCCCTGCACCAACTGCAGCCTGCCCTGACCTCTAGTCTTTGAATTCTTTCTCTGGGTTCAGGGCTCATCAGAATCTCTGGGGAGCTTAAAAAGTCAAGACTCCAGCTTTACCCGCAGAACATGGAATCAGAGTCAAGTGGAACGTGACCGGAAGACAGACATTGGCTAATGATCCCCCAAGACCCTAAGTAGGCCCAAATTTAAGCACAGCTAGCTGGGTGAGGTGGCATACACCTATATTCCCAGCCACGCAGGAGACAGAGGCAGGAGGATCAGAAATTCAAAGGCAGCCTGGACAACTCAGTGAGAGACTCCATCTCAAAATAAAAACTTAAAAGTGTTGGGCTGTAGCTTAGTGGTAGAATGTTTGCTTTACTGTGCCTAAGTCCCTAGTCACTCCTCACTACAGCAAAAACAAAAACAAAGAAAACACAGCTGACTAAGCCAATCCCTAGATGTTACACTGGTGTGCACTTTTCTGAGTTGGAGTCTCCTCATACTCGATTGTCAGCTTACTGGGGACAGGTCCAGGCCCATCGAGATGAAGGCACCCACGCAGATAGGGAGTAGAGACAGAGGTTGCTGGGAATACACTGCACTTTTATTTTACTTTGGTGCTGGGAATTGAACCCAGATCCTTGAGTAATTAAGCAAAAACTTTTTTTTTTAATGTGGAATATATTCTGGAAGGATGTTTATGTGAATCGCCTGGGGATAGTTTAAAAATTATTTTTAATTGATACATAATCATTATATATACTTAGAGGTGCAGGGTGACAATTCAATACACATGTACAACATGTAATGATCAGGTAAGGGTAACTGGCATATGATCACTTCAGGCAGTGATCGGTTCTTTGTGTTGGGAATACCCAAATCCTCTCTGTCAACTATTTTGAAATATACAATTGGCGGTTGTCAATCATAGTTGCCCTAACATGCCATTGAGCCTGAAATGATCCACCCCCATGCTGGGAATTGAACCGAAGGCCTTCACACTGAGCTATATCTCCAGCCTTTATTCTTTATTTTTTATCTTGAGACATGATCTTGCTAAGTTGCCCAGGCTAGGAGCCTTGAGATCCTCCTATCTCAGCCTCCTACATGGCTAGAATTACAGGCCTGCACCAAGACCAGAATAGAGCCTAATTCTTAAGCCTGCACCAAGTAATCCTGTAAGCCTGCACCTTACAGGCCTGCACCAAGACCAGAATAGAGCCTAATTCTTAAGCCTGCACCAAGTAATCCTGTAAGCCTGCACCTTACAGGCCTGCACCAAGACCAGAATAGAGCCTAATTCTTAAGCCTGCACCAAGTAATCCTGTAAGCCTGCACCTTACAGGCCTGCACCAAGACCAGAATAGAGCCTAATTCTTAAGCCAATTAATACTCAGGCTTCAACCCCATAGTGTGAAGTGGTCTGGGCTGGGGCCCAGGCTCCTGTGTGTGTTCAGAGCTTCTAAGGACTCTGCCATTCGACAAGCTGGAGAAGGAGGCTGGAGGAGCAATCTGTAGGTCCAAGCTGGCCCTGCTGACCACACACAGAGGCCCAGCAGCTGGGTAGAGAGAAGGCCATGCCCGGTCCACAGATCAACCCGGACACTGCCACACCAGCAGCTATTGGGGAGGGGGAAGGAGAGAGCAGGGGGGCGATGATTTATCAAACAAGCATATGGAGAATGAGAAATATTCCAATAAGAGGAAACTGCGTGAAATAGGAAAGCCACGTGTGCTGTGCATGGCTGGCAGCCACCCTTATGTAAGGACCTCTGTGAGTCCTGGGTGTTTCTCGGACTTCTGAATTTTCTCAAACAACGTAGGGCACAAGGGAAGCTTCCTGTTCAAGGGCAGATGATTCTGTGAAGACACTGCCAACGCTCAG